TGTATATATATATGTATATAAATACCTATATGTGTGTTTATCTCTTTATATTTTGAATTATACTGTCATCTATACACACGTATGAAATGTCCATTTATTGCCCTATCTAACGTGATTCTCCTGCTCGTCCGCTTGTCTCAAAACTGTGACAAAAAGTATTTCCTGTTAGACATGGCCTTACCTGAAGATTCGTATAACATGCGTTAACTACCTGTTTTTTACTATTAATACGTGATTGTATTTAAACACACAGCACACATATCGAGTCCACAGGTATGTAAGAACAGATGCAGATGCGTTTTTGAAATAACTGTTGGTTACTTTTAATAACACGGACATAAAACTCAACCTTTCACTTGTTTCTTCTGCCAAATGGCCTGACTTTCATTAGTGAAGAAACTGCTAAATTCAGCATGATGGAAATTCTGTGAAAGCTCAGACTTTCAATTTAAAAAAAACCGCCGATGGCACGTCTAGAAGGCAATGATAAAAATAACAAGGAAAAAGGGATGGCTGAATCCTAGCAACGGGGAGGGGGATAGGAGAGGCTGAGACACCGGAAAATTTCACCGAAGCCAAAGACGTTCACCGTTCGAAACCAACCGTAAAGGAAGATGACAATTCCAGCGACAGGGGGACTGTTAACAGGGGAATCTACAGAATCATTTAAGCCGACAGGGAAAGCTTCAAGATCGCATCAGGCAATAAGGTAAGCCTGAAAGGGGAAACCGCTCAGTGTGGAAAAGGGGATGGCCGCCTGACCAGACGGCTGGCGACAGGGAAAGCTGCCACTCCCAGAGTAATGTTGCCGAGTCCAGGCGGCAAAGGCGGGAAGGGAAACTCCCGTAGGTGTTTTGTCCGGAAGCACGACAGATGTAGTTTTCTAAACCTCAACCCAGTAATGTCAATAGCGCGCCAGCATCTACGTAATGATGTGTCTCACGCCAGCAGATCGCGGCCGTGGGCGGCACCCATCATTAAAGTTTCTCTCGCGCCTAAACGGGCGGTCAGAATGCTCACGTGATGTCACAATTCCGCTTTGTTTACTTATGTGTTGTTGCTAATACTAAAAGTACTACTACTACTGCTACTACTACTATTGCTACTACTACTACTACTGCTACTACTACTACTATAATATAAAAATAACCATAATAATATTAATAAGACTAAAAGAGTCAAAAGCAAGACCATCACAGTCAAGCAAGAATCTGAGTGATTAATGTGCGAGAGTAACAACAGCAGTAATGATAAAGATTACAATAACGCTAACAGGAATTATACCGTAATGATACTCTTACCTAACCAAGAAAGTTATCTTAAGTGTGATAATATTAATGAAAAAAATTATAGTGTTTTCACAGTCACCATATATCTAATGATAAATGTGATAGTAGCACTTAGGAAATATACTTATACATATACATACATACATACATACACACACACACACACACACACACACACACACACACACACACACACACACACACACACACACACACACGCACACACGCACACACACAGATATATATATATATATATATATATATATATATATATATATATATATATATATATATAAATATGTGTGCGTGTGTGTATATACATATATATATATATATATATATATATATATATATATATATGTATATACACACACGCACACATATATATATATCTGTGTGTGTGTGTGTGTGTGTGTGTGTGTGTGTGTGTGTGTGTGTGTGTGTGTGTGTGTGTGTGTGTGTGTGTGTGTGTGTGTGTGTGTGTGTGTGTGTAGTAGCGTAGATAGAGGGGGTCAGGGGGGCGGAAACCCCCCTAGAGCTAAACTGCCACTTTGTCGGAAAATTGCTAATCTTGTCGGAAAATTATCATGAAGAAACAAAAATGCTTATTATTTTTTTTGTCGGAAAATCTGCATTTCTCGCCCCCCCATATAAAATTTCCTATCTACGTCACTGTGTGTGTGTGTGTGTGTGTGTGTATGTATGTACATAACATAACAATACCGAAATATCAATGGTGATGAAGCTAACAGCGACAATGAAACTATTGTAATAATGAAAATATTGGAAATTATAAATATGAGGATAATAACAAAAATAATAATGCCAATACAAACAACATTATAATAACGACAACAACAGTAATGATAAGAATGATTATAATCATTAGAATAATTATATAATATTATAAAATAATAACAACCATGATGTAGGTTGCACCAAAATAAATTATTCAACGAAAAAGTTGTTATCAGTGATCAATATATATATATATATATATATATATATATATATATATATATATATATATATATATATATATATATATATATATATATATATATATATATATATATATATATATATATATATATATATATATATATATATATATATATATATATATATATATATATAATATATATATATATATATATATATATATATATATATATATATATATATATATATATATATATATATATATATAT